AGTTCCGCGCTGATCGATAAAGCCTATTTCTCTGTTGAAAGGAGAAAATGCGCGATTTAACCAGAGGCACTGGTCGAGGTATGCCGAGGTACATCATCTATGATTACCTTTCGCGTTACGGCACCGGTTCTCAATCTTGCAGGTCACGAACCGAACTCGCGTCCCCATTAGATACGCCAGTGTTGCGATATACAGAATGTTCCAAAGAAGAGACATTAGCAGCGAAGCGCGAAGGAAAAAACATTCCAAGAAATATGTATAAAACGCGGCTTTTGCTTGGAACTCGGATTTTTTTGCCGCAATAAAAGATCTTGTAAAAATAGTTAAAAAGAAAGTCATGTAGAAATAAGTATATATAAATTACTTTAATGGAAGAGAAACGTTTAATAAAATAATCCTTCTAATCCTTCTAATGGCATCATTTGACTATCGATAAATTCACGGCAAGATAAATCTACGTTATAAGGGCAACGATTGTGCTAAACCGGAAAATAGGATACGGATTTTAAAGACCCGAATCTCTCTCGAACGTCGCTCTCGTCGAAAATTCGGCACAGAACGAACGTAGATGGGAATTGACCCACAAGCGAATACGATAGCAATGACTCTCTAAACATTCAATCTCTCGCAAGATGACTATCATTAATACCGTTATGTAAATATAAATGTATGTGTGTATACATATTTTTTATTTAAATTTTATATTACATTTATTTATATTATGTTATTTTTTTTTATTTTACATATATTTTATACATTTATATTTATTTCATACATTTCTATTATATTTATTCACATATCTCTATTTTATATATAAAAAAATTATTTTTAGATCTATATCTAGTTAAATTTTTAAGTATTTCAGTAAAATCATTCTTTCCGTGTACTCACTGTGTTGATAAAAATAAAGTGACACGTCTCAAAATTAAGTAACTTTTCAGTAAAGCATTTTTTCCTTTCTAAATTAGAACGATGTTTTAATCAAGATAACGATTGTACATAACTTCCTTTCTAATGTTATACTAATTTGCTTTCCGCGTTATACTTTCAATTATAATATATTCTTTAAAACTATGTCATGAGTTTTCGAAATTCAAACACTGCAACATATAAGATTGTGTAAATTTCATTCCTTATTAAAGTTGTGACACTTCTATATCAATATAATATCTATATCAATATAATGTATCCATAAATGTGTCGTCTTTCCACAAAAATATGTTAGTTTTAAGGGTTGATTTCCTTTCATTATTTCAAAAATGCTAATTTTTTATTTCTGTTATTTATTATTTCTCTATCAACGTGACGATATATCTAAAATAATTAATTTTTACTGCAAAACATTCAGAGCGACTATTTGTCCTAGCTTCCTTCGCATGAGGATGATTATTTGAAATAACAAGACTATCAACTTCGAAAGACATACTATAAGAAGCGTCCGAGGATTTTTATTTGAAATGCATCGCATAGATGGTGAAAGGTGACCAGCACGATCTCCAAATGTAGGACAATAAATGGCACTGGCCCGATTTGTCGTAGAGAGCATTGCGGATTACATTAGCTCGTGTTCCGCGTTCCATAACGTCTCGTGGGATCGCCGAATAAAGAGAAATAATTCTGAAATTCGAAGATTTTCCGAGATCCGAAGCGAAGGAGTAAGAAACTTATTGTCAAAGATATGGAGACGTCAATACCTAAGATAATGTAAAATGGTAAATGTTTTCCTTTTGGGAGATACAGTCAATATAGGTATGTGTCATTCTATCTTTGTCATTCATTGAATAAAAAAAGATAGGTGTTTGTGTCTCTTAAAAAAAAAACAGCCTATATAATGATGTTAAAACCCAAGATAAGGTGTAAAATACAGAATAATGACATATCGCTTCCTTACTTCAAAAATGACACAACTAAACAAATTAAGTTCCTCAGAAAAGGAAAAAAACTATTTTTTAATTTGACAGAAAATTATTGATTTATTAAATAATATCAGCAAAAAGAATATATTCTTAACATGATCAAACGTTATTTTTGTTATTTTGGTTTCACAATATGTTTGATTTCTTCAAAATCATTTTTTTTTTGGTTGAAACGATTTTGACATTTTTTTAAAAATATGATTTTATTATGAAGTTAAATAAGTTACTTTTTAATATAATAATTTAATATTCTATCTTTTCATATTTGATCTCAAAAAAATTTTGTTTACAGTATGCTAATGGATCCCTCTCTTCCCCTAACAAATTTCTGGATCCGTCAATGCATTCGGCAAAATATCGTAAAATTTTCGACAGCAACCTGATGATTTCGGATGAACGTTTTTGATTCCCCATACGAAGCAACGAGTAAGCGATCGCGGCTGGTGCCTCTCGCGTCGTAAATGCATGGAATCTGACCTTTCTTGTGCCGCATTCGGCTCTCGCGCAAAATCTCGGCTTACCGTTAGTGTGGAATGTTAGCGGGCACCGGAGATGCCTTTGCAGGTGCAGGTAATTCCCTTAATCGACGCGACGATTTCATTACGTTAGTCCCTCCTGGGAGGCAAACACGATCAGCGCTCGTCGCAAAAAAGATCACGAGGGACTTCCACAATACACAAACGGGACAATAACCCCGTTGACTCCGATCGTTTGTTTCGCATTACTTGCCAATTCTTTAGCTTGCAACAGCCTCCTAGAAAAACAGCGAATTACTGTCTGTTTGAACTTATATTGAACTTTAGATCTCTGGGATGTCCAGAGATGTGAATCTCTCCTCGAGAATCCTTCCTTGATTTCCCTGACTCGCGGCTTCTTGCTTTTGTGAATTCTTTGGATCTTCGTATCTTGTTCCGTCGTGAATGAAATAATACTTCCCATTGAGATCGAGAGTAAAAGGAGCAGAAAAGGATAGATAGCGAAGAGAGAGAGAGAGAGAGAGAGAGAGAGAGAGAGAGAGAGAGAGAGAGAGAGCAAGAAAGACGTGGTTAATAATGCGAGGAAATAACGTGCATGCGCCTCTTCCTTTCCCCCGAATTAAAAGCGTATGCGAATTTCTAAATGATGTCACCGCGTCTCCGCGATTCCTTACTCACAGAAACGAAAATCCCTTAGGCGGTTTTATGCTTGGCCTGCCGTAGAGTAATCTCGAATACACTGGAAAAAAATAAAGTCGTCCAGCTTCATGGGAGGATCGAAAAGCTTCACCGCCTTCTCGTTTTCAGACGCGCGTTCTTCCAAAGTGAATCTTATTCAATTTTATCGTCGGACAAAGGATGGCTTCCGATAAAAGGTATCACAAAAATAAAGACTACAGAAACAAAACATAAGTGCGTATACTCCGAAACGTAATCTATTACTATCTCTGGCAATTTATTCCGCAAATGACAAGACAATTGTCGTGAACTCGTCTTATCTCTCACCATCAATTATTATCTTTTGGAACAGCATCCGTCAAAAGTGCTTCGCGGTTTGATGACGTAACGCACCGTTGAACGTACGTTTATACACACCTTCAGTTTATTTATGTGACGCGGATTTAATTTGCACAGCCAGTTTCGAAAGTTCAGACCCGCATTCAGAATCGCGAGCTCCAGAACCTTATATAGTACAGAAGCTTAACATTGCTGCAACATTTCTAATGTTACTGCAGTGTTAGCTGCTGTTGAAATAATTTGTGCTAGGACTGCACCATACCCATATAGGTGCAGATCATTCCGGCAATATTACAAGCTTCTTATATAAATACAGTAAAAATCATTTCAGTAACATTACAACAACATTGCAACGTTGCAGCAATATTATTGTGAGCTACTGTGTTGTACATCATTCCAGCAATATTGCAGTAACACTATAACTTTGTAACAATGTTGTTGCAAACTTCTGTAATGAAAGTATATTACAGATCATTCTAACAATATTACAGCAACACTGCAACATTCCAACAATATCACATTAATATTAATACAAGACACAGATCATTCTAGCAATATTACAGCAACATTGCAACGTTCCAACAATATCATATTAACATTAACATTAACACTGTACAGCACAAATCATTCCAACAATATTGCAATGTTCCAGCAATATTGTAGTAACACTGCAACTTTGTAACAATTTTGCTGCGAGCTTCTGTGCTATATAGAGGCCATGTCACACTAGGCATGGAAGATTAACGATGAATTGAAGATTAGAATTCTACCAGTAAGATAATTTTAATTCTAATTAGTCATTTTGTTCTAATTAGTCGAATTCTAACATCTCTAATTCACTTCTCAATCTTCAATGCATACGTGTGACGTGTGACATGAGCTTCCCGCGGTGTTACTTGGATTGTTTTCATGGGTAAGGTTAAGGGACATCGCGATCGACCCCGTGTTACGGTGTCATCGTGTCAGAGGGACACACACAATGCCAAAGTCGAAACTGACAACTCTTACCTCTTCTGCAGCTGAATCTCCCGGGTGAGTCGCGTGGATACGTGGTACACATCGTAGGAACTGAACACGGGGGAGGGGTGGAGCACCTACGAGCAGCGACGCACGGGTGATCGTGCGTGCATGTCACCGCGATTTACACAAATTTGGACGGATGACGACGGGTGTCCCGGGTGCCGTTTTCGGAGTAACACGCAACTCGCGTCCTCGCGACGTGTGCGACGTGACAGGACCGTAGAGTATCCTCCTCTCTCGTTGATTTCCCTTGAAAGGACAGGCGCAGAGTGGTGCGCCACGCTTTTCGGCAGTAATGTCAAACGTCCACGACGGTGCACGACGGATCGTGTTATTCACGCCAACGATCACGTACCAAGTGTGTGCATCGCACGGGATTGAGAGCCGAGCTGAGCCGAGCCGAGCTGAGCCGCACCACCTGTCACTCGGATTCGATAGCACGGAACATGCGTCGTGCGACGTCCCCGGCGCCCTGCACCCCGCATGTCGTCGCCGTGGCCAATCAGCGTTCGACCTGGAGAAAGAGAAGGTAGGAGCACAAAGTGCAAAGAGTGCAAAGATATTACGACTATTATAACTCCAGCTTAACCTTACTTTATGTCTCGCTCGTGAACCTCCTGAAGATTACGTAAAATCGTTGGTATTATTATGAGTAACGTAGATAATGCGATCGTCCAAAATTTGGACGAGGAAGATGAGTCCAAGGCGGTGATGCTGTTCGGCCGAGACATTAGGAGGATCCCCTGTTTCAAGCAGAGTATGCTGTCCGGTATTTACAGCGGTCTCGCGGCCGGCCTGGGCACCTTCATGTTCACCAGTCGCGCACATCTATCGGCGAACGTCGCCCTGGGATCCTACATGGGAGTCACCGTGGTTTATTGGTGCTACTGCCGATACAACTACACGATGGAAAAGTATGAAATGCGAAATCTGCAAGATATCATTCGGCAAAATTCGATCAACGCCGCGGAGAAAAACAAGGGAAGTGTTCAGAGAAAACTGATTGACACATGAAAACTGCTCGTCTGTCGCTAAAGACTTTTAAAATAATGTATACGAGAACAAGAGACGCGTTATCATGCGATCGTAGCACAGTGCGATGTAATATAACTAAGATTATTGTATCATATTTATAAAATGTGTGCAAAAAATGCCTGATGAATGTCTGAGTTATTTTTAATCTTTTCAACTGTATATAGTATTTTTACACGTTAATATCATATGTATGAGATTGTTAATTGATTATAATTATAAAATATATCTTGAAACTAACGTGGTTCTAATATTAACACATATAAAAAATAAGAGCATAAAAAACCACAGCACAAGTTATAGTTTGTGATATTTAATTATTATTACATTAATTAAAACATTAAACGTTTCGGCCACAATTTGGCCATCTTCAGTAATTCAATAATATTCTTAAAACGCAGAGTTACATCTAGTTGACATTACATTCAACAGTCGAGAGTTGTAATTAAATAAACATGTTCTTTTATATGTGAAGATGCTTCATACAGTAATGTTACATGTTATTTTTCAAAATAACAACACATAATGTCACGACAAAATTCTAACTGGGTAAAAGAAATAATCGAGATTCATCGTTTGGTTTTTTGCTGTAAAACAGAATCTGGAAATTCTTGTTCTACACTTTTCTTGATATGACAATTGACGTTGTAACATTACTGTATGAAGCATCTTCACATATAAAAGAACATGTTTATTTAATTACAACTTTCGACTGTTGAATTTAATGTCAACTAGATGTAACTCTGCGTTTTAAGAATATTATTGAATTCCTGAAGATGGCCAGATTGTGGCAGAAACGTTTAATGTTTTAATGAATGTAATAATAATTAAATATCACAAACTATAACTTGTGCTGTGGTTTTTTATGCTCTTATTTTTTATATGTGATTATAATTATATTTTTCAACGTATAAAAGTATTAATATTAATATTTATATATTAATTATTAGTAATATTTTTTTTTATGTATCGATAGATTGGTTACGTTAATTGGAATTCTGATTGAAAATAGATAAATCAGAATTTTTTGATTGAATCTATTATAACTCTACTTGAGATAATCAAAATTGTGAAATGATCAGAATTTTCTAGTTCGTTTATATTTTCAACCAAACATTTTTTTCAGTATATGAATTCGTAGAGTTCAACGTTATATACTTAGAGGCTTGTAACTCTTATTGACTGTAACAGTAGCATTGTCATATGTCAATTGCTCAGTTTTATATATGATAAAAAAACTGCACAACAACTACACACTGTAACGCTACAATTACAATCATTAAGAGTTATAGAATAATCTTTTGGTTGTGTGATAATTTAATCACTGTGTGATCACACAGTTGCATTGTACTGTTTCAGCTAATTGATAGTATAAAAAATGATTGATTTTTAATCATAATTGACACAATGTTAATACACGAAATCGTATAATAAAATTATAATGAATTTCTGTATTATATAATATTATATAATAATATTATTACTATAATAAAATTATTTTTCAAACGTATATGTTTAATTTTTCTCCACGAGCATGATTGTTCGAAGCTATTAATGCCTGAAAACTATTTCTTACATTTCTATTTTATTTTAATACTATTATGTATAATGCTATTTTTCATGAATAGTAAAAATCTTCATATTTGTGGAGTCTTCATTCTTATTCTTTAAATCTTTTTAATGAAAGAATTTTACTCTTTTTCAAAATTAATTCAATTTTTATTCTTTAGAATGAGATTCCACTTTAAAGCGTTAAAGAACAAAGCTTACATTCTGATAAATAATTTTCCATAATACACTTTATATAATATAATTCCAATTTCTATATATTCCATGTTATATTGTAAAATGTAAATAATCTATAAAGTGACCTCTGAGAATCTTGTAAATACAAGTGAAACAATGCCTACAGTCAGTAGTGTTTTCAGAGGCGCAACATAGCGCGCGGCATCGTATACATCAAATGCGTGCGAATTAAGTTTAATAAAACTAATATTTTAATTTAACTAAAAATTTATATATAATAAGAGAGACGATAACGACAGATTGAAATAATTCCTACAATGTCACAAAATGATACGAGTGACGACGAATCTAATCCGCCACAGATGTACCTCAAGCCGAATTCTCACGTCCGTAACAATTCAGGTATATTGAAGAATTACGAAATCTGTTTATTTCAATTTCAGGACTTGATGTTGTAGTTTTACATAGGCGGATCATACAATGAATCTCTCAATGGGAAATTTCCTATACACAACTCTGGTAATGTACCGTAGATGACTTGGGACAGAACTTTTGTTAAATTCAGTCGTGATATCCATTCATAAGTCATTAAAGAAAATTTGAAATTTAAACTTTCTTTAGAAACTCATGGATACTAAGATTGATTTATATTGATTGATTTATATGAATTTAACAAAAGTATATGCTGTTCCAAGTCCCTGCATTGTTAACTGCATTGTCCCAAGTCACCTACATTTACGGTATTTATTTTCTAGACAAATGCCAGGCATCATAAAACAATTTTAAGATTAAAATTCAATAAAATTTTAATTTTTTCATTAATTTTATAATTTTTCATTAAAATTCCACTTATTAAATTACAAAGCATACACAATTAAAACTTTTAAAAACGCTAGCAGCTTGAAATGTTCGGGTTCCTTAGAAACTCATGTCTATAGTTCTGAAATCAATTGTAATTTGGACATAATTCTATGACAAATATTCCCAAAGTTATGTGTAGCCCGATCAGTTCCTCCTCCTCCGTTTCGAGCTCTGTGATATTCGGACAAATCTCCGAAGAGGTGCTCCGCGCCTGGAGTCAACTACCAGAAGCGATTCGCCTGGATCCGAGTTTGGCGATCTTTCAGAAAGAATGTGATCGAATAACGGAAACGAGGTGAGCAAAATAAGCCTAAGAAATCGATGAAAAAGGATTTCTATATAACAAAAGATAACGTGTTTCCAGATCTCTGGACTGCGTGAAGAAAGAATGTCTAGTTGTCAACATGTCTCTTGGAATGCCATCCGCGACATCAATCAGGTAAATCTATATATCACGGGGGAACTTTAACAAGATCCTACGTATTCTCAGAACAAACGGATGTAATAATAATTAATGGTATCTTCGCAGCATACAACATCAGAACGTCGACGAAGACGGACAGGATGTGCAAATACAGAAGAGACAGAAGCCTTTTTGCCGTTACATAAAATTAATCATACTCTCCTGTTGTTGGCTTCTATTCACAGTAAGAAAACCATCAGATCGATGTGATCAATTAATAAATCTCACGTTGCTTCATATTGCAGATGATACTGATGTTCAAGAACGAGAGGATTGAGACGATGCATCAGCTTTCTGTATCTAGCAGAGAAAGTACGAGTATCCTTCTAGTCAATTATGAAAAATCAAACTGCGAATTTTTGTCTATTTTGAGCAAGATGAGGAGACAAAATTTCCATAAATAATATAATATCAATCAATCTCAAAATATTCTCCTTATAACGATTATATAGATTATCGAATCAATGAACATGTTACAAATACCTTGATTAGCGTAACGGTGAAAGGACCATTGCTGCCGTTACGAAAACACGAGCAGTATTTATCTGCGAATTTATCTATATGTTATTTGATGGTATGGCTGCAGGTTCTGGTGGACAGAAAAACCAATTCACGTTTCTCCATTACTGATTCGAAGAATTTGAAGGTGATAGCTTTAAATGCGTACAAAATTATTCTTATGTTTATATAAAAAAAACACGAAGTCAAATCCAGCCAAGCCTGAAACAGAGAAAGAAGAAAATAAATCAGTCACATAAACAAATGCTTATCACAAATATTCTTTTACATACATTTCATAAAATTAATTAATTTTGATTATATTGAATGTATATCGCGTATATTTATTTAAATAGCTAAATCTACTGAAATGCTTAGTCAGCAAATTAAAAGTAACGTAACATCAATGTAATTTCGTATTCAAAAATATAAATGTAATATAACACATGATGTTACATACAGTTACATTGTGTGAAATTATAACACGAATATTTATTTCTCTTCAGCTTAGACAGAATAATTAAAAAAGGGATTTATTATAGTTCACAAATATTTCTTACTTCATTCATCCATCCATTGCTTCGTCGCACGTCTCATATTCAATAAATTCTAATACCTGTCTTTATGTAACTTTCTACCATGTACTTTCTTGCCATTCATTATTTATATCATCACAGCCATAATTAAATAATAAACCTAACGTACATTTCCTTTCATCACTATCATATAATTATAACACTAATTATGTTATTTTACTTTTTGTTGGTATCGACTGGGCATTTATTTACTGGATAATTATAAACTAGCTACACCATACTATATTTGCAATCATTAATTGCAGAACGTAAGCGATGTGTGGATTTTGCCGGTACTACCTGAAAATTTGGCGAGCATTTTCCCCGACCAGAAGCATCGGAAGATTTTCCATATAAAAGCTGATAGCAAGTACGTTATCTTATATTTTTGCTATTATTCAAATCTAATGAAAATGAATTTTGCAAAATATTTATTACAAATTTTGTTGGCAAAACGGAAATATTTAAAAGTCTCACATGCAGTATGATATCTCAGAATTTGTTAGCAAATGTTTTGTTTATAGGACTCTATCGCAAGGCATAATGTTCATCAATCTGCGCACGAATTCGAAGTCTATTCTTTCGCTTTCGATAGGCTACGATTCATCGCCAATAAATGTCGATATCGGTATACCGCTTGCCGCTGTTGTCTTGATTATCTTATACATCCTGATAATTTTCGAGGTAAATCATGTACGCAAATTAGAATGTATTTATTATAAATATGAAAAAGATCACAATATGATATATATGCAGGTATATATATATATATATATATATATATATTGTATATTAGTAATTCAAGATTGAATTATTTAAAGCAATAAAGATCCAGTTTCGACTGTAAAGACATTTTAAATTTCTAATATTAATTGTGTTTCTCACATATGCAGTCTAAAATAAAGATTCTTAATAATGTATTTATTCCCGAATGCTTCATGTTTGACCGAATTAGGTAGTACATAAAGCTCTAGCTGCTATGCTGGC